ATAGAAAGAAGCAGCCCCAGGTAAACCAAGGAGGGAAGTTGCCCCAGGTTGACTATCAGAGCAGACTGAGATCTGAAATTGGTCCTAGTTCAGTTGCATGTGAACAGGAATTTATATTACAATTAGCCATAGAGCTGATTTAAAAAAAAAAAAATGGGGGGGAGCTATTGCATAAAAGCCAGTCATTTTAATTTTGCAGGTGTAGAAAAAGAATGACTTTTCAGTTATTTAAAATGTTGAACATTTTTGCAAAAAATTCATTTTTGAATTTTAAAATCTTTTCTTCCTACCTTGCCCCTTTCTCATATTGCTGCTGAAAAGTTGAGCAAGAAAGAAAAAACACAAAGACACTCCTCCCTCTCCCCGAGTTCATTTGCAGAAATTTTCAGTTGAAAGTGTTAACGCTATTTTTCTTGGGGAAAAAATTCTTTAACAAACATTTTTTGACCAGTTCTGTTGGTTCTTTGTCGGTTTCTCCAGGTATGAGGTGAAGAATACTGAGAGACAGGTCTGTAGAAGATGACATTTACACTAACCATGCGTTTCTTATTTAGTAATTAAAGGAAAGGCTTTCATGGACCTCCCATTCACAAAGCTGCTATAACTATGCAAACCCAAGAATTATGATTGTTGGTTAGAAATGGAAAAACTAACATCATTGTTCAACAATCTTCAGAGATGTTTGAACGGGGTTAACTTGCAATTTGCAGAATTAATTGGCCAAAAAGTAATTATAATGAGTACACAGTGTGCATGAGTACCTTAAAGAGACAGCTGAGCACAAGACGTCTTTTCAGAACTCTCAGTATCAGAAGGATAATGTCCCTATGGTTTTGAGTAATGATTTCATGAAGTGATAAGCGTGTATGATGTAATTCAGTAGCATAACTTAAGCAGACAGGCGAGAGCTCTCCTTGACTTAATTACTGCAGCCCCTGTGAGCGATGGTAGCTACGTTGGTGGGAGAACCTCTCCCACCGACGTACACTGACTAAAGTGATTGTGTGGACAGTGCTAACTTGTGTCGCTCGGGGGTGGCTTATTCACACCCCTGAGCAACATAACTTATACCTACTTAAGCTGTAGTGTGTACACAGCCTAAGGGTATGTCTACACTATGAAATAGGTCGATTTTATAGAAGTCGATTTTTAGAAATCGATTTTATACTGTCGATTGCATATGTCCCCACTAAGCGCATTAAGTTGTCGGAGTGCGTCCTCACTACCATGGCTAGCATAGACTTATGGAGTGGTACAGTTCCCGCAGTCTCCGCTGCCCATTGGAATTCTGGGTTAAGCTCCCAAATCCTGATGGGGCAAAAATGTTGTCGCGGGTGGTTTTGGGTACATGTCGTCAGTCTCCCCTCCCTCCGTGAAAGCAACGGCAGACAATTGTTTCGCGCCTTTTTTCCTGGGTTACCCGTGCAGACGCCATACCACAGTAAGCATGGAGCCCGCTCGGCTTACCGTCACCGCTGCTGTTGTGGGCAAGTCTGCTGTGGGGGCTGCTGTGATCCAAGTAGCCAATGCAATCATTGACGTTCTGTTATCAAGAGTAGTGACTCTGGGAAATGTGCGGGCCTTTTTAGATTTTAGGTGCCTCATATTCCTGTCCTTTGTCACTGGTGAAGAAGTCTTGCAGCCATACATTCCAGTCCAGTCAGTGCTGTGACACCCCATAGCAGTTCTGTGGTTGACACATGTAACAGCTCCAGGGCTCTTGTTCTTTTGCCTTGGCCGAGGTACCTTGCCCTACCATGACCTCCAAGCATTCGACACAGAAGCCCCTGCAGCAGCTGGCATTGCTACGCAGCAGCAGCATCTTGCCTTCGCAGCAGACGGTGCAGTAGGACTGGTACCCGTCCTAGTCGTACATGTAGAAGAGCTCCAGGAATCGATCCCTGCAAGTCTGGGAAAGGCCCCCCCTCAAACAGCGGGTGGAATGTGTCTGGGTTTTTTCTCCCGCATGATAAACAACTGTCTTCAAGGCTCCTGTTGTTGTTTGTGACTTCGGAAACCATTTGCTGTCTGCTCTGGTCCTCCTCCACCCGCTCCTTGCTGTTGTTGCAGAAGTTAGTCTTTAGATGCTTGGCCGGGGGTTCTGGGAAGGTCTTCCCTGCCCGGCTCCTAGCAACCTCTAGGGCATGGTGAACGGATCGTTGATAGGCGACCAGCTTATTAAACGTGGAGTGGTTGAAATGCTGCCTAAAAGCCATCAGACCCACCAGCTTGTCTGCTGAAACCTCAGAGAACTTCCCGTCCCCAAACCATTGCACCCAGCGCATTCCAGAGATTGCCTGACGTTTGGACGTGACTCTGTAGGAGACGATGATTGCAGGCCACCAGGAGAAGCCCTTGATCTTCCCCCACACGAGCTCCCCAATTCCAAAATCTTACCCATTCTGGTATTCCACCACTTCCCCTGCAACTCTGCTCTCCTACTCCCCAGCGACAAGCTCGGGGGATCCGTTCTGCTGCTCCTGGGTGCTGCTGGCAGATGTGGTACTGCTGCTCAGGGAGGATTCCTTGGAATCCTCCTCAGTGAGGTCGATCCGCGGCACCTGGACAGACATGGCCATCCTCCTCTTGGAGCACCAAATGGGAGCCAGAGACTCCAGGTCATTCTCTTCTTTAAGTTTCGTCTCATGGAGATTCAGTCCTGCCTGTAATATCATGCGAGCTGAAGGCTTCTGCCTCAGGCTTCTCTCCCGGCCAGCAGCACTGCACGGTCACACCTACCCCAGCCTACCCCTTGCTCCCATGGCTCATGAAGCCTGGATAGTAGTAAGGAGCAGTTCAAGTATAGGCTGAACAAGTGCAGAATGGTGGTAGAATGTGCCTTTGGACGTTTAAAAGCTCGCTGGTGCTGTTTGCTGACTAGGTCAGATCTCAGCGCAACCAACATTCCCATTGTTATTGCTGCCTGCTGTGTGCTCCATAATATCTGTGAGAGTAAGGGGGAGACGTTTATGGCGGGGTGGGAGGTTGAGGCAAATTACCTGGCATCTGATTTTGAACAGCCAGACACCAGAGCGATTAGAAGAGCACAGCAAGGCGCGCTGCGCATCAGAGAAGCTTTGAAAACCAGTTTCATGACTGGCCAGGCTTCGGTATGACAGTTGCGTGCGTTTCTCCTTGATGCAAACCCGCCCCCTTTGTTGATTTTAATTCCCTGTAAGCCAACCACCCTCCCCCCTTCGAAATAAAGTAACTACTGTTTTGAAACCATGCATTCTTTATTAATTTAAAAAAAAATGAGATAGCGGACAAGGTAGCCCGGGTGGGGTGGGGGAGGAGGGAAGGACAAGGCCACATTGCTTATTGTAGCCACATTACAAATCAAACCGTTTGAATGACAGCCTTCTGTTGCTTGGGCCATCCTCTGCGGTGGAGTGGCTGGGTGCCCAGAGCCTCCCCCGCCCCCTCGCGTTCTTGGGCGTTTGGGTGAGGAGGCTATGGAACATGGGGAGGAGGGTAGGCAGTTATACAGTGGATGCAGCGGGGGTCTGTGCTCTTGTTGGCTTTCCTGCAGCTCCAACAGACGCTTCATCATGTCAGTTTGCTCCCCCATTAGCCTCAGCATCGTGTCCTTCCTCCGCTCTTCGCGCTCACTTAATTATTTCCTGACCCCTGCCATTGAGTGCCTCCATGCATTAAGCTGTGCCCTATGAGTGCGGGAGGACTGCATCAGCTCGGAAAACATATAATCGCGAGTGCGGTTTTTTCGCCTTCTAATTTGCGATAACCTCAGGGCGGAGATGATAGAGGGAGCGTAGAAACATTCTACGCTCTACGATTCTGGGGGGACTGCATGGTCACCTGTGCTGCTGAGTTTGCCACGCTGACCAAACAGGAAATGAAATTGAAAAGTTCCCGGGGCTTTTCCTGTGTATCTGGTTAGTGAATGGGAGTTCAAAGTGCTGTCCAGAGCGGTCACAATGGAGCACTCTGGGATAGCTCCCGGAGGCCAATACCGTCAATTTGCATCTGCACTTCCCCAAATTCGACCCTGCAAGGTCGATTTTAGCGCTACTCCCCTCGTCGGGGAGGAGTACAGAAGTCAATTTTAAGAGCCCTTTTGGTCAACGGAATGAGGTTGTTTGTGTGGATGCAGTCATTTTTAAATCGACCTAACGCGGCTAAATTCGACCTAACCCCGTTGTGTAGACCAGGCCAAAGAGTCCCTCTTGCCACTCCAACAGTGTTGGAAACTCCTCCCCCCTTTCCAGCAGTAGACTTGAACAACCTCTTCTGTTTCCTCTTGTCAGTTGCCTCCTGACACATCATCTTTTCTTCCATTGTAGTCCTATGTAATTGATATTTCCAGATGCCTAAAGTAAACTGGTAAATCTTGAAAATATTTTGATTTGTCTCATCCTTAATTTTAAAACATTTTTGTGTGAGACTAGGGAGAATTCTTGGGAGAGCCTTCTCTTCTCCCCCCCCCCCCCCCCCCAAGTGCACTATTATATAATTTTAGATATAATTCAAAAAGAGGAAACAAGCTTTGTGTTAGTCTAGAAAAGTTCATAATTGATACATTTGTAGAAATTCATATTATTAGAATGCATATTCTAGTTATATAATTCTGAAGATCAAAGCTGAGAACCTTCTATTTTGAAGCTCACATTTTTGTCATAGAGGAACCTATCTCTCAATGTAATGAAGATACTACTTCATTTGTGGACAAGCTATGAGGTTAATCGTCTCACCTTTAAGATTCCTTGTAGTTATTTTTAAATCTGATAAGGTTGTTGGGGCATGGCTTAATAGGCTGATTCGGTACAGATGGCAATTGCCTTGTCTTAGGTTGATCTTCTAATTCTGTTGAACGGCACTATAGATAAAGGAAAAAAATATTTCTACATGGTAAACTGTAACAATTTTTAGTTGCTATATATGTTTAAAAAGTATTTGTCTAGTTGTGGCTTTTGTGTTGGTTGATTTATTTTGAGGTAAAGGGTTTTGTTCACCATTTTAAATGTTTCTTTTGTTTTCAGGTTTTGAAAGTATTTTAGAAGGGCTTTATGGACCAAGGCTACGAAGAGACCTCAGTTTATTTGAAGGTAAATGACCCTGTATTTAGTGCACTGGGTTTTATTTACTAGCTTTTCTTTTAGTTAGAAAATTTATTTTTAAGCATTTATAGAAGTCTGAGAAGGAAATCTGAAGCTGTGAAAATTTATTGTGTTTTCTCTAATGCATTTTTTCATCTTAGCCTCCTTCCCATCCTCATACTTTCTGTACATATACAGAATTAGTAGCTGGAACTTGTTAGTAATGAAGTGCCTGGATTAACTAGGCATCCCTAAGTATCTGGCACAGGAAAGATTTTCTTTTCTGAAATACTGTATCCCTTATTAACTTTCTTTTTGTGAGCAACTTTCAGAAAGGAAGGAAAACAGCTTAGTTCTCTGACACTGTTGCTATCAGAATTAATTAGGAATTAGGTGGTTCTCAACAGCCATTCATTTTGCATAATCACCTACTCTTAAGAGGCTAAGCAAATTTTTATAATACAGTGGTCTTCTAGCATCCATGTAACCTCATCTTTTTCCAAGTTTGCAGAGTTATGCTGGAATAACTGTAAACAGTTACAATTTTTTTAAATTCAAGTTGATAGGAAAATGTACTTTGTGGTATGATGTTAGTAAATGATGGTGCCATATTAATGGTTTCTCACTAAAACAGCACAGGGGAAGCCTACATGAACTTGCCTGAATTTTTAAAAAGAAAGGACGTTGTCAAATCTATTTTCATAATTTATTGAAAAAAACTCTTTTTATAACCACTTAGCCACCCAAAAGCTTTTCCCTTGCCTTACCTTTCATTGCCTCACAATTTGTTACTGACAGTGTCATAAGTGTTACGTTATTGGCAATGTGTGAGATAGATGTAGTGTGTAGCATGGTATAAAAGCTCCATTGAAATTAATTTGAATAACTGCATTACTTGAAGGTGGCAAATCCATGATTAAGTTATGTAAATCATTTTGTTAGTAAAATCTTTTACAGTATTCCATCGTTTTATATCTTTTGCATTTGTTTGTCTCACTTTTTCAGTGATTTTTTTTTTTTAATTGTTACAATTTTTGTTTATACTGTTTTTTTGTTCCCTCCATCTGTAAAGCCAGGTATGCCATCAGTCAAAGAGATGATAAAATGTTTATGTAATTTTTACATGTTCCTAAAAATAACTTTTCCAGAATAATGTCACAGTTTTAGGTCTGATACAGTACTAACTGATTACTGTGTACTGTGGTGGAAACAAATACACTTCATCATTTGGAAAGGGAAGGGAGCATTCCTGGCTTTCTAATGGTATAAAGCACTCCTTTTCTAGACAGAATTACTAGTGGGCACAAGAGACTAGATTTTAAACCTATTAGTGATCCAAGATTTGACTATTCCTTGGGCACTGGAATTTTTAAATTTGGGGCATAGAAGGAAGAAAAACCTTTTTATGGTTTGTTTTGTAAGTGGATTGAAAGCAGTTCAGAAGCATGGAATGCTAGTAGTATTGGGATAATGGGTAGAATACAGATAATGCAGGTAAAGGAACATGATGATCTACATGACAGATCTCACTACTATATAATTGGTGCATTTATGTATATGGGATATATTAATGGGGAAGCTGGTAGTGACCCCTCTATTTAGCAGGTCTAACACTTTCCATTATAAAGAATTTGTGTAATCTTTTCTTTGAAAAGGTCTTGTATCTCCCTTGTTTGCAATAGACCTTTGATATTTGACATCGAGAATTCCCTTGGACTGTAGAAGTGCCTTTTCTGTGTCCCATGAAATTCTACTCAGATTTGGCTGAGATATATATTGTTAAATTGCCATTTTCTGTCATTATTTTGGCAGGATGCCTGAATCACTGTTCTGAACCCCTGGGATATATGTTTGACACCCCTGCTGGGTTCATGCCACAGCTGCTACAGCGGAGCACACTAAACCAAGGAACTGCCAGATCAGCTGTAGTAAGGGAAAGGGAAGGAGTCAGACTGGGATGCCCTCCGACTATATTTTTTTTAAATTTGTTTATTGGTATTACAGTGGCATCCAAGAGGTTTGGCAAGAGCTCCCTTTAACTCTGAGTTCTACATAGATGAACACATTATCGGTCATCTTATGCTTGCTTGAGGTACTCAGTTCTCATCCATTGCTTCACTGGTCAGAGTCTTTCTGACTGTCCTTTAGCAATGGAACTCCTGGTTACAACTGACTAGTTCCACATCATAGCTTTGAATGACATTTTATCATATTTGCCTCTTCACCTGGGGCTCAATTCAGCAATGTACTTAAACTCATGCTTAAATACCTTGCTGAATTGGTGTCTCAGTTCTTTGTATTATTAGAGGGACAAAATGGGTGAGGTAATATCTTTTATTGGACCAACTTAAACAGTCTCCTTCCATCTTGTATTTTGCTATGATAGCCTGAGTAAGTTTCCCAGGCCTGAAGAAGAGGTCTGTGTAAGCTCGAAAGCTTGTCTCTCTCACCAACAGTAGTTGGTCCAATAAAATATATTACCTCAGCCACCTTGTCTCTGATATCACTGGTCTACAATTTTTGAGAAGTCGTCTGCTTCAGAGATAAAATGTGCTATTTATTATGTATTTTGATGTGCTGAATTCAAATATGACAATTAAAACAACTGATTGGCTACTGTTTCTAAGATATTTAAGTTTTTACATTTTATGTCTATGTATATTGTGTAGATAGTAGAGTTTTAATCATAAATTGTAAACCTAAGTCTTTTCATGTGTTTATGGTTGCTTTACATGATAATATTTCACCTGTCCTGTTTATGTAACACTTTAAAAATCAGCAAAAGGGTTATATAAATAAAATTTATTATGAAACAAAAGGCAAAAAACTATTCTGTACATAGTTTAGTCCTATTCAGTGTCTACTCGGCGCTTCTTGGCTTGTCTCTTGTATTCATTAAATGGAGCATCTCTTGTCACTGTCCAGCAATAGTCTGCAAGCATTGATGGGCTCCATTTTCCCTGATAGCGTTTCTCCATTCTTGCAATGTTCTGGTGAAATCGCTCGCCGTGCTCGTCGCTCACTGTTCCGCAGTTCGGTGGGAAAAAATCTAGATGAGAGTGCAAAAAATGTATCTTTAGTGACATGTTGCAACCAAGGCTTTTGTATGCCTTGAGGAGGTTTTCCACCAACAACCTGTAGTTGTTTGTCTTGTTGTTTCCGAGAAAATGTATTGCCACTAACTGAAAGGCTTTCCATGCCGTCTTTTCCTTGCCACGCAGTGCATGGTCAAATGCATCATCTCGAAGAAGTTCACGAATCTGAGGACCAACAAAGACACCTTCCTTTATCTTAGCTTCACTTAACCTTGGAAATTTTCCACGGAGGTACTTGAAAGCTGCTTGTGTTTTGTCAATGGCCTTGACAAAGTTCTTCATCAGACCCAGCTTGATGTGTAAGGGTGGTAACAAAATCTTCCTTGATTCAACAAGTGGTGGATGCTGAACACTTTTCCTCCCATGCTCCAATGACTGTCGGAGTGGCCAATCTTTCTTGATGTAGTGGGAATCTCTTGCACGACTATCCCATTTGGAGAGAAAACAGCAGTACTTTGTGTATCCAGTCTGCAGACCAAGCAAGAGAGCAACAATCTTCAAATTGCCACAGAGCTGCCACTGATGTTGGTCATAGTTTATGCACCTCAAAAGTTGTTTCATGTTGTCATAGGTTTCCTTCATATGGACTACATGACCAACTGGAATTGATGGCAAAACATTGCCATTATGCAGTAAAACAGCTTTAAGACTCGTCTCCGATGAATCAATGAACAGTCTCCACTCATCTGGATCGTGAACGATGTTGAGGGCTGCCATCACACCATTGATGTTGTTGCAGGCTACAAGATCACCTTCCATGAAGAAGAATGGGACAAGATCCTTTTGACGGTCACGGAACATGGAAACCCTAACATCACCTGCCAGGAGATTCCACTGCTGTAGTCTGGAGCCCAACAGCTCTGCCTTACTCTTGGGTAGTTCCAAATCCCTGACAAGGTCATTCAGTTCACATTGTGTTATGAGGTGTGGTTCAGAGGAGGAGGATGGGAGAAAATGTGGGTCCTGTGACATTGATGGTTCAGGACCAGAAGTTTCATCCTCTTCCTCGTCTGACTCAAGTGAGAATGATTCTGGTGCATCAGGAACCGGCAGTCCTTCTCCGTGGGTACTGGGCGTATAGCTGATGGAATGTTTGGATAATGCACAGTCCACTTTTTCTTCTTTGACACACCTTTCCCAACTGGAGGCACCATGCAGAAGTAACAATTGCTGGTATGATCTGTTGGCTCTCTCCATATCATTGGCACTGCAAAAGGCATAGATTTCCTTTTCCTGTTCAACCACTGGCGAAGATTTGTTGCACAAGTGTTGCAGCATATGTGTGGGGCCCACCTCTTGTCCTGATCTCCAATTTTGCAGCCAAAATAAAGGTGATAGGCTTTCTTAACCATAGTGGCTATACTGCGCTTTTGTGATGCAAAAGTCACTTCACCACAAACATAGCGGAAGTTATCTGCACTGTTCACACAAGTACGAGGCATCTCTGCTCACTTTGGCTAAACAGAAATGTGTCCCTTTGCAAAATCAAACACTGACAAATAAGAGAGCACGACACTGTATGATTTCTAGAGCTGATATAGGGCAATTTGTTCAGCAGAGTGATGTAAGCTTCGTTATGATTGCATCATCCATGACTTCTAGGAATAACATGATGCAATTCATATCATGTATGACGCAATACCAGCTTCAGATTGCATCATTCATTGTTTTGCCTAAAAAGCAAGTACTGTCCAAACCCAGTCATAGATTTATTCCTAGATCCAGTCAAAGATGTATTTTAGTCATTTCTGGTTTAAATTGAGATCCCTTCCCTTTATAACTCACTGTAGTGGGGTGGCTACCCTGCTCCTGCCTGAGGGGTTTAAAACAGCCCTGGCAGAGGGCTGGGGCAAAGGGAAAAGCTACTGGGCTGTTTGGGGAAGTAGCCACAGCTGGGCCACGCCCCAATCAGGC